GATTACAGTAACGCGTTACAAGTAACGCGTTACTGCCCATCTCTGCCAAAAAGTGATTGCAGGAATTTTAACTTTTTTAGAAATGACTTGTTGGTAATAAATGCGCAAATAAATGATATCAAGTCATTTTGAGCCAGAAAGAATATTCCTAGGTAGAAGCTGCAATGATTTTTTTTGGCAAACTGTTATATTTGCTATATTTCTCTGAGTAATAACTCTCATTTACCATAAAAATTAGTTTTTCAGGAGCAAGAGGGAAGCAGAAATTGTAAAATTAACATCACTGTTATATAATAGCTGTCAAATTTATAAAAGCAGATGAACTGCTGCCATGTTTCCATCACTTTGAATACATATTTTCAGGGACAGAAAAGAACTAGATATTTTATATATGTAGGTACAATAGGTAGAGGTAGGTAGGTAAAGTAAAGTAAAATAGGTAAAGGTAGAATAATGAAGATATTTGGAAAAACAGGCCATTTCTTTGATCTATCTATCTGTCTGTCTATCTGTCTATCTATCTATCTATCTATCTATCTATCTAAAGGGAAAAAACACAGAAACATTGGAAACCGCTCTTTGGCTGACGATCACTTTTTGGCACAATACCAGCAAATAATAGAGCACCAAACACACACAGAGATTTAACAAAAGGAGGCAGGACTTCAAGGACAAAATTAAGAAACTATAACTTCAGCGCAAAAACCTAAAACATAATTAAAAGAACAAAACACTTAACTAAGAACACTGGGTCAGAGACTCGGGATCATGACACCAAGGTCTGTAAATGATACTACTGTGTTAACTAATCTCACTATTGTTGTCTCTTAGGACAAAATTCATTCAACAATATACAACATGGTGTAGAAGAAACTAGACACATTTAAAAAATAGAAATACAATTAAAACCTGTTCCTATGTAACAGTATATTTGATCATGTGGTTAATAAAACAGTAGGCTGATTGGTTGTCCAGCCAACCCTTGCCTATACCCTATACCCTTGCCAGGCAGCTCTAATACAACAACAGCATGGCAAGAGTATACAGTATATAATCCGATTATTAAAAGTTGTTTCCTTCTCTGCTTCTGGACTAAATCTTTTTACCTGTAGGTGATAAAATTGTCGAGATAGGAGCAAACTGGATCCATGGGCCGTGTGAGGAGAACCCGGTGTTTTGTCTGGCCCGTCAGTATGGGCTTTTGGATCCAGAGGCCCTCAAGCCGGAGAACCAGGCCTTGGATGTCGGAGGCCATCTTCCTTGGGTTCCTAGATTCTTCAGCAGTTCAGGTTCAAGGATGTTTTTATAAAGTGTATTTGTTTGTTTGATTTTTTTTTTTAGATTAGTAATGTTTTGATTAGTCTTACACCTAACCTAATTACTGGGGCTGGGAAGTTCCATCAACCAAATGCAAAGTATTTATGCAATTAGACAAGGAAAAGGCAGAGGCTGTAAATCATCATTGTTTGCATGCTGGTGCTGTGTGAACGATGTGGCCAACAACCACTGAGCTCTGCCATCAAGAGGTGATATAGTTAAAGAGTCAAAAAGTCCATGAGGAGTAAAGAATTCCCTTCATTTTATGGGGATGACTTCATGGAGCAAATGGATTTTAAATTGATTTAAAAGGTTCAGAGCATACTAAATCTGTCTTGGTCATCTTTATTGAATGGGAAGATAAAGTGTGAAACCAGCCTTCAAGAAGAGCTCTGAACTGGAGGAGAGGTTAAAAAAATGTAGAGAAGTCTAGATTTTCCTGACCAGTGTTCTTGTGTAACATCTGCAGGTCGGGAGCTGAACGCTGAGGACATCTTACCTGCTCAGAAATTGTTTTTGGAGCTGATAAATGAAAGTTCCGATTTTCAGAGTCAAAGAGGAGAACCCTGGCCCAGTGTGGGAGATTTCTTACGGGCACAGGTAAATTTCTGGTTTCAGGTAAATCATTTGTCACCATTAGTGGCATCTAGATTCTCACATGAATTGTGGGTGTTTTTCTTTGCTTGTTATCTGGTGTAGGTGCAACAGCACGCAGCAGAGAAATGGAAAGATGTTGATGAAGCCACCAGATCTCTGCGACTCTGTGTGATCAGTAACATGTTGAAGGTCGAGTGCTGTGTCAATGGGACTCACAGCATGGATGAGGTCAGCATGGGGGCCTTTGGCCTATACAAGACTCTACCTGGACTGGACTGTACATTCCCAGGGTTCGTACTCCTGACTCTGCATTTACACTGTGCAAAAACAAGCATTTATTTTGTTTGGGCAAACAAGGAAATACTCAGTCTTAATTATTGTCTTAGTAGATTAGTCAGCCTGTTAATTAATACAATTTTTAATTTAATTCAGTAAATTGTTGCAGCACATATGACTTAAAAGTTATGTCCTTTGTTTGTACAGTGGCTATGAAGGTCTAACCCAGAACTTGATAGCAGAGCTCCCCGCTGGTTTAGTGACCTACAATAAGCCTGTGCGCTGTGTCAACTGGAACAGCGCAAAGAGCGCAGAGCCTGTGATGATTGAGTGTGATGATGGCCAAAAGCTCGTTGCTGATCACGTTATAGTCACCGTGCCACTCGGTAAGTTTCACATGCATAAAATGCTGATTTATACCTCAGTGTATGAAGGTTTTATTAGTTAATAAATGCTCCCTTATTCACATAGGGTCACTGTGACGGGGCGGGGCCTGCGGTGCCGTGCAGAGGAGGCGGACGCACCTGCACGGCATCCGCAATCACGCCCCGCCGATATAAATATTGTACTGGGTCCTGTGGTGGTGGTTGTTGTGATAATGTTGAGCGGGCAGCGGGAGAGCTGCAGCTCTGTGATTGTGGACAGCAACCGTCAAAGCATTAATAAAAAGTATCAAAATGCCACTGGGTCTGCCGTGGTCGTTTACAGTCACAAAAACAAGTACTTCCACATTGAGGCTCAGTGAATTTAAAGTTGTTGTCTTTTTGTCAGGATACTTGAAGAAGCACCACTCGACCTTGTTCCATCCTCCTCTCCCTCTGCACAAGCTGCTCTCCGTCCAGAGGCTGGGTTTTGGGACAAACAATAAAATATTTGTGGAGTTTGATTCACCGTGGTGGGATGCTGACTGTGAGGTCATCTTCTTCGTGTGGAATGATGAGGTGAGATTTCATAAAGGCATACTCAGCCACCTAAATAAAGATACTGTGCATGCTGTGTTTGATCTTATGATTTAAACAGGAGTACATCAGCTCATATCTCTGTTTCAAAATGTTTGTAGGTTTATGCTGGTTGTTAGATTCTTTGCTAACGCTTGAATGTCTGTTTAATCCCTTTTCATACTTCAGGATGCTGTGGTGGACCAGGTGCCAGATGTGCAAACATCCTGGATAAAGAAGTTGTTTGGCTTCACTGTACTCAAACCCACTGAAAGGTCAACTGCTCACAAAATGCTAACGCTTGCCCAGCATTTTAGATTTGCACTGAGTGGTAAAAACATGCCAATTCGTACATTAACAGTGCAGTTCTGTGTGTGGTTTAATCTTCAGGTACGGCCACCTTCTCTGTGGCTGGATTTCTGGACATGAGTCAGAGTACATGGAAACACTGTCTGAACAGCAGGTCACAGATACCATCACACAGCTTATTCGCAGGTTTACAGGTGAGTCCAGACAGATCATAAGTAGTGGGAAATGCCAGATATTCCAGTGTCATTAGTTACACAAGGACTTACAAAAGTCATTTTAGAAAGATATGTTTTGGGGGTTTTTTTTGCATGTTTAGGGAACCCCATCGTCACTCCAAGGAGAATCCTGCGCTCCCAGTGGTTTCACGATCCGTGGACGTGTGGATCCTACAGTAATCTTGGAAAAGGCTGTTCAGAGCAGGACCTGGACAACTTGATGGAACCCCTTCCACCAAAAGGATTAAAATCACAAGTAGCTACATATTATGTTCACACTCAAACCACCAGAAACATCATCAAAGGTCTAACACTTCTTTCTAATTTGCCTCTTTCAGCCCCTGCAGGTGTTGTTCGCTGGAGAGGCAACTCATCACTGCTACTTCTCAACCGTCCATGGAGCTGTTCTCACCGGGTGGAGAGAAGCTGATAGACTTATCTCGCACTACTCACTCATTACTCCTTCTGAGTTTCCAAAGTCAAAGTTTTAAAAAATTGCTCTTTGCCACTAAAAAGCTCAAATTTACTATAATATAAAAATGTACTTCACTTTTGATGTGTTACATTATTTTCAAACAATGAAAATCAGAGTGAATATGAAGGCTTGCTGCTGACTTGAGGATGTTTAATGGGCCTCACTGGTACTTTCAACCAGTACAGGCAACCCACACAATGTGTAGAATAATGATGTGTTGACATGAATAATGGTTGTTAATACTGACTACTGACTAGGACTGACAATAACTGACTAAACTTTCCTTTTGCAAACTCAAATTGTTGCGTTTGGACTGATTTTAATTAACTATGAATAAACTGTATTTTCTAGTGGATTTTCTAGTGAATGTAATTTTTAGGAACTAAGCACATCTTCTGACATGATGCATTTTAAGGCAAATATTACGAGGTCCTTCACCTCAAAAATGCTAGAACAGCTTTAAAATATAACTTTTTAGCTGTTTTTAAAGCATGCTCACAGAGTACACAGATCTCAGGCACAGAGGAGAGTTTGGGGCCTCAGGGATCTGCTGAGGATGTATGGATTTAAAGGTTCACTGAGGTAGGCTGGGGCTTGTCCATGTAGAGCTCTAGAGCAGCAGTGATGCATCTTCACCTGCTGTTAATTTGTAAAGTATAATATACTTTAACTTTTTATTTAAGATTTTCTGCCTTTAGAATCATCAAAGTCCTTCAAAGTTTGTTGATTGTAATATAGGGGTTCAACGGGGTGAAAATGTATCACCTCTTTGCAATCTTTTTAAATGATTTTGAGTATACAATGAATAGGTGTTATAATGACTGAGAAATGAGTGATGATGATGCTGAGATCTGTGTAAGACTTATTGTTCTTATGTATGCAGATGACACTGTAGTATTGTCAGACTCAGAGACAAAGCTATAGAAGCCTGTATACCTGTTCTGACCCGTCTCCCCGATGTGATGTTTGTGTAATTTCGCTCCAGGCAACTGCAAGTGGCAAATAAAGGCTTCATCATAAGAAGAAGAAGACTTTAAATGCAGTAGAAAGATATTGTGTGACTGGAAACTAAGTGTAAATTCTAATAAAAGTAAAGTTTTTGCAAGAGGTAAAGTAAGAAAATTCCATGACTTCAAATTTGGAATTTCTGTATTACAAGCAGTGGATCATTATGCTTATCTTGGTGTGACATTTAATTACAATAATCACTTGAAAAGGCTATTAAGTCAACTGGGGCAGATATAGTTTGTTAACTAAATCTAGAGATCTGGGATTATCTGTTGAAACTCAGTTACAATTATTTAACCAGTTGCTCTTACCAGAGGCGTGGGACCATGAAGACCATGTCATTAATTGAATCTTAAAGCAAGCATTTCAATATACAGGATTTTATTATTTATGAGAACATACCAGAGTGGTGAATGATAGCTATAAGAGCACTTACTGAGACGAGTATATCTGATATTCTGAGACAAAATTGGAATTCCAAAATGTTTAATAATAGTACTATTATTAAACATTTTGGAATTCCAATTTTTTCCAATAGATAACAGAATATTTAAACAAGAGATCAAACTGCAATAAAATTTGTGTAGTTTCTATTTTGTGTTATCTGGAAAAGGTTTAGATGCGGTGTTAGTGGTATCCCAGTCATTATGGGCAGATTTTATGGAGTTATATGTACTAAATGTTTATGTGGACTTTGTAGATTAGGGAAACTTGGAGATGACTCTCATTACTTGTTTGAATGTAGTCATTTTAAGTTGCAAAAACAAACATGTCTGCCTGTGTATTTTAGGTTGAGACCAAATGTTTATAAGATGGAGAAATTGTTTAATACTAAGAATATTGTTAAGGTGCGTAAACTTGCAAAATTTTATAAAGAAATTGTATTTAAACGTGGATATGGGTGATTTGTTGGGAGAATGAAATATAGCCTAAAGTCTGTACCAAAATAGGGTTTTTAAATGCTTCCCCTTGAAATAATCTCCCTACCACGATCTTTGACACCGTCATCAGTTTTTATTCAATGACACGGAAGATTTTCTGCCCAGCTCAGGTGTTCCTGCAGGGGGCAGTAGCAAGTTATACGAACCTGAAAAAAGTAGAGTAAGTCGTCTTCATGCCGGAACAAAAAAAGCTTGACGGCAGATTCGAGTCGGGATGTAAACAGTGAGACACATGTCCATTTCTGTTTAGTGCATCCAGTGGAGTCAAAGTAAGTGTTCTGTTAAAACAAATGAAGGACGGTGGATATATATTTGGGTAAATAGCATGAAACTGTACCAGGCACTCCGTCATGTCGACAAGTTCAGAACCGTTTTCGACTTTGGCGGACGGGAAGTGGCTCACTGGTTCCCCGGACACATGGCTAAAGGTGACTGCTTCGGCTTTACATTGGCTGTAAAGTGTGGTTTCTGATGCTTTTGAAAATGCGGGTAATCTGGTGTCCGAGGTCATTTCTTGGTCACATAATTGCTGAAATAATTTGTTCTTTGTAGGAATAAAACAGATGAGAGCCAACCTGAAGAGTGTGGACTGCATCATAGAAATACACGATGCCAGAATATCCTTTTTATTATATTACACCATAAAACAGTATCATCTTTTAAATAAAAAACTAACAGTGGTATATTTAATTGTATCAAAATTCCAATAAAAACCGTATTTTCTGGTGGGTGCTGCAAGATGCCAGCTGTCATAGCTTTTATTGTTGATATTTGGACATTTTTCCGTGTTATTTTGTTAACCAGTACCTTAATAATCGATGAGACATTTTGGCATATTTTTAGGGTGAAAAATCTTTTATATTGGTGTAATTCTTTTCTATTTTAATTTTAAGCCTGAATATTTTTATTTATAAAAAGCCCTTACCTCTACCTAAAGTACCTCTGCATCATCAGAGGATATGATGGGTTATGATTATATGTATAGATAGTCTATACACTCTTAAAAACAAATTATTTTATAGACAACATAGCAATCAAAGCTTTGACAACAATTAAGCTTTGACTTTGAAATGGGAAAAAATGGTGTATATAAGTAGTGAGTTTTTTTCTATTTTTGATTTTCTTAAATATATTGAAGGACAGCAGACAAGGTCACATAAGAAAAAAAGAGCACATTGATATAAACATTAACAGTGTATATGGATTTTATCATCCTTTTTAATCCTTAAGAGAAACTCTTAAGAATAAGAACATTTTGTGCAAAGGTACTCTATGCAGAGAGTTTTCACTATTATGCCAATAAACATGGTGCATAGTTGTGAAAATAGAAGGTGAATCACTGTGAACTGATCTAGGAGATGCACATGAGCTGATTTAAAAATAAATAAATATATATTTATCTATGGAAGATTTTGGCAAGATAACTAAATTATGTAGAAAGTGGTTTAGTTTAGTTCAGAGCTTGTTTACCATCTGAGAGAGACAGGTGTTTCTAGTCCTAAGTACTCCATGTGTGTTCTGAATTTCAAAAATAGCATGTGGTCAGGTGATAATTTGATATATAGAAAGTGTACTCGTTTTAAAAAGAAAACTGCGAGAGCCCTGTGATGTTAATCCTTAACTTTAAAAACATCCCATTCTCTGGAAGAAACCCGGTGTTTCAGGACACACTAAGTGCCAAACCACATTTGCTAATTCTCAACAAAATGGACCTCGCTGATCTGTCCAACAAGCAGGTACAAATTCTTGCAGCAGCTTTGGCAGAGTCGCATGCCAGCAGCATTTTACTGTACTACAGCTACATTTACTCTGCAGAGAATCCTGAAGAAGCTAGAAAAAGAAGGGATGACACATGTTCTCTTCACAGACTGCTTAAAGCAGAGAGACCACAACATCACAAAGGTAGAAAAACATTTTACTGTTTGCAGCCATTTCCTACACAGCTAAAAAGTTGCAAAAGTTATAAGCACAGATGTGCAAACTAATTCTGCCTTCTTTTCTTTAGCTGGTGCCAAAGGTGATGGATATTATTGCAAGCAAACCACGCTTTAACCGTGAGGAGGTACATTCTGTCTGGACGGTTAAACTATATTGTTTTAGTGCTCTGTGGCAGAGAACATATATCCTCACTGTTTCTATACAACCTCAAATTCAATTTCTTGCACAAGATATGAGGTATGTCCAGAAAAAGTGCCACAAAACTATAGAAATTGCACTCATACCCTCACCATGCTGTGAGTTTAGCCTATGAAATAATGACACGTCCCTCCTTATTGGCTATCTTAGTCTTTAAGCTACAAATATGGAAGCAAATTGCTCACCAGTGTCTTCTATGTTGAAGAAATTAGTTTTCTTTGAATGTTACATTTTCCTACTTCATTGATTTTATTTAAAATGCAACCACATTAACGTGTTAAACTTTCAGAATACAAATTACTGCCTGATGGTGATTGGAGTGCCCAATGTTGGGAAGTCGTCTCTTATTAACTCGTTGAGAAGAACAAACCTAAAAAAGGGTAAATAGAGAAAAGCTGTGGATTGATTTGAAGATTTCAGTATAACTTTCACCTCCTCATTAACGAGTGTTGCACTTGTACACTAATTTCAGGTCGTGCATCTCGAGTAGGTGGGGAACCAGGAATAACCAAAGCGGTCCTAACTAAAATTCAGGTGTGTGTGGAGAATGCGTTTGCCTTTGTTTGTGTTTTGATGGTCTGATCAACCATCCAGTATTTATAACTGCTGCTGTCCTCAGGTGTGTGAGCGGCCCATAATGTACCTGTTAGACACACCTGGAGTCTTGCCTCCTAAAATTGAGAGTGTTGAAACAGGCATGAAGCTGGCCTTATGTGGTATGCAGAATATTTTTTCCCCTAACATAATTGTTGTCAGTTTGTATATATGATAAAATCATTTTGTTTTCCAAATAGTTGGATTTCTTGTTTATACAGAATGATTTGAAAATCTTTTTTTCTGCAGGAACTATACTGGACCATTTAGTGGGTGAAGACATCATCGCTGACTACTTACTCTATTCTCTGAACAGGCTAGGAAAGTTCAGGTGGAATTTTTCTTTCTCCTATTTTGTGTTCATGTGCATTTTTTTTTCTTATTTTTTTATTTAGCTTTCTCTTGAATGTTTACTGTAAAGATGTGTTTGTGTGCAGTTATGTGGACAAATATGATCTCCAAGAGCCTAGTGACGACATCCAGCATGTCCTCAAACGCATTGCTGTAAAACTTGGAAAAACTCAGCGGGTCAAAGCGATTACTGGAGTGGGTAAGACACGGCTCATCCTATGTATACAACTGCTCTGTACAGTGTAATTAATGATTTATTTATCAGTGAATTGGTTTTATTTATTTGCTTTTTTACTGGGAACAAAATTGATGCCACTGCCTTGTCTGTGTTGCAAGCAGCTTTTTAGTTTAGCATGAAGGCTTGAAATTGGGATAAAAAAAACAAGTCTGCAGGCAGGAGCTTCAAATAGATATTTTTTTATATTTAAAAGTAGTACAAAACCTGTAATTTTTTTTATATATATATTTTTATTATTATTATTCTTTTTTACAAATAGTACATAATTACATGACATAATAAAGTGTACAATTCAGAACCAAAAATAAATAAATAAATAAAAAAACAAAAACAAAAACAAATAAACAAAACAAAAACAAACAGACTGATAACTAAGCACAGAACACCAGCTCAGTTCCATCTAAAAAATAAATAAATAAATAAAGAGAGAATACAATACAGTACAATACCCGTGGTCCCAGTACTACTGGGACCACAAAACCTGTAATTTAACTTGAAAAGCAAATACAATTGTTTTCTAAAGAAAATAAAATCTTACTATTCCTAAAAAATAAAAGTGACTGCTTATATGCAACTGGCCACTTCCTTAGTTACTATTACTGGATCAAGATCTGAAGACTGTGGGTCACCGTGTGGTCTTCTGCCACTGTAGCCCATCTGCTTCAACATTTCATGTGATGTGTGTTCAACATTCCCTGAGTTACTGCTGCCTTCATGTCAGCTCAAAGCAGCCTGACCATTCTTCTCTGGCATCAACAAAAGCATTTTCACCCAAAGAACTGCCACTCACTATTTTTCCTTTTTCTGGCCATTTTCTGTAAACCTTGGAGATGGCTGTGTGGTGAAAATCCCTTTAGATCAGAACTTTCTCAAATATTAACGCCAGCTCAGATCAGTGGCACCAACAACCGTGTCATGTTTCAAAGTCACTTAAGTCACCTTCCTCCCCATGTTCATTCTCAGTTTGAACTTTGGTAAGTGGTCTTGATCATGTCTGCATGCTTAAATGCATCAAGTGACTGGATGATCATATATTTGCTTTAATCAGCAGTTTAACCTACTGCAGTACCTTTTTTGAACTACTTGCTGTCATTCAGGGGCAATCCTCATGGTTTGTTGCACTTTTCTCTTTTAACGGTTCTATCCCATTTTTTCCTTGTCTCTTTCAGGAAATGTTACCATCACAATACCAAACTACACAGCAGCAGCATATGATTTCATAAGAGCCTTCAGGAAAGGAGAGCTGGGTCAAGTAATGCTCGACTGACCCGAGTCATTTTACCGATGATAACTAAAAACTGTTTCTGGATTTCTTCAAGAGCATATTAGTCTGTGTCTGCACTGACATGGTGCAGTTTTTTGGGCTTGTGGATAATGCAAAAAGTCACCAGACCCTGTATGACTTGTAAATAAAAGACATTTATTAAATAGTTATTCTCAGTTTTGCTTGTAGGATACATGAGACAGATATCCAGGGTGGTGTAAACAGGATATTTATTGGCATAAAGACAGTGATAACAAACTCTTTAATTATTATGTACATCAGTGTAGCATATAATAGAGTGCACTTGTAAATGTGGAACAGTCTGTTGCTCCTGAGTGTCTTCTGTAGGTAGATAATTTTTTTTATTTTTTGGAAGATGTAAACACCGTGAAAACCTTCCAGAGACACCGGTCGCTTTTGAGAGCAGCGGTAGGTTTGCCTCTCATCCATGTCATGATCACAGATCTCAGCTGAATTTCAGGCATTATTAAAAAAGAGTGTGAACTATTCAGAATGTGAAGACGATTGTGGAAAACTAGCTGTCCCAAAGCACAGCACTCTTACTTATTCTGTTATTTAAATTATTGTATAAAGAACGAAGTGAAATGTGTTGCATTGGTTGAGTTTGGAAGCTGAACAAAAACACGTATTTTCCTCTGTAAAATAAATAAGTCCATATTTCAGAGAAAAATTACTAATACTGTTTGATTTCAGGGGTGAGAAAATGCTGGTGCCAGGTCCCTTTCAACTTAATAAATGTTATAAAGTAGCTGATAATCTGTACTTCCATATTTTAAATGAACTGCAGCAAGTCCAAACTTTATATTAATACACCGGTCTGCTTTTAAACACAGATAGATTCTGTCATTTGTACAGAGCTGCAGTACAGGTCACTTTTTATTTTATGCATATTATTAAAAGTATATATATTTTTTAATTTGGCAGTAGTTAAAATTGGCAGAAAGCAGCTCGGTTAGACTCTGAAGAGTCATTGGCATTTTGCTGATATGTTCTTCAGTGAAATACTAAGGTTTAAGCTTTAGGGGTGGAAATTGACAGTAGTTCTGTTATATATGCAGAGATGAAGTCTGAGAGGTGAAATGTCCCCATGAATACTAAGCTGGTAACGCAGCCTGTTGTTTGCCAGTTGGAAAAACTGTAAAAAGTACAGTACAGTGATGTTTTTGTCATTGTTTTGTTCTGCTCCTGTGTGACCGCTCTAACTGGTCTTACCCGTGCAGGTTCCAGTCAGTCCTCCGCATTATAATCATAACCTGGATGGAACTTCGGTTCTAGATCCAATCACAAATGTATCCTACAAATCACCCAAATATCTACAGTATACTGTCCATCAAGAGTCCGTATTTAGGAGAAAACATTGTGATAATGACAGAAACTACTTTGGAGAAAAAAGATCCATTTTGAGTAGAACCTGACATTAGAGCATCAAAGTAATTGGTCCTGTTGTAGTAATCCAGCTCTTCCTCCCAGTTGTCTGTGTTGCCACGTCGGTAGGCAGATGCGTACCATTTATCTGCCGTTAACGCCACTGCTGCCCCTGCTGCTGCTGCACTTGCCACCCTCACCGGTGACGTCCGGCCGGCCACCCTGAAACGAGAGCGTGTCCCGCCGTAAGCGCCTCCTCCCCTGTAGGTCCCTGCTGTGGAGCTGCGGGAGGGTGACCCTCGAGAGGAGCCCCTGGACCCTCCACGTCCGCCTTTACACAGCGTGGGCTCAAACAGGAAGGCAGAGAGCAGGAGGCAAGTCCAGCATGTTGCAACCACCTGGTTCATCCCAGACATCTGTACAGGAAGAGGACACGATGAAGCAAGAAGGCACATCTTAAACCTTCCTTTGGTGGCATGGCTAAACCTTTGATGCAGTGGTCAAATAAGACTTAAAATATTTTGTCTGTTGTGCAAATATATAGGAAGTATTTGTCAATTTGCATAGTTTCAAGTTTGCATATACAGTCATCATGGTAATTTGGGTCTTTTAATGATTTCTTTGGGCTGCTCTTTTTCTAGACCACGGTGATCATACAGCATACATCTTTCATGACTTTAACCTCCTAGGGCCTGGCGTCCACATATTACATTACATTACATTACATTTTGTGTTGTCTTGACCAAAATACTAAATCTTGCTCTACAAGGGCCTGATATTCACTTACGAGAACATTATACTGCAACTGTTCTATTTAAAATTTAAATGAATATCCTCATATGTGGCTCTCATTTTTCTTAGAAACAAAAATTAGAGAAAGAAAAATCTGGTAATACTTTGTTTTTACATTCATCAGGTCCCAATCAGCCAAAATATCAAAGAGAAATTAAAAATGCATGCCATGGAAGAGTTTGGGTCTTAGGAGGTTAAAAATGAAGAATTGGGTGCACAAGTTTTAGCTGATTTTGAATTTACTTTCATCCACACAGGGTCAAAATGATACATATAATATGTGCATACATACCCAAATATTTTGTTAAATAAACCTTAGCAAGTTGCACCTCAACCAGATGCTTTTGGTAGCCATTAACAAGATTCTGGTATAATCATGGCTACATATTTGACCACTCTTGTTAGAAGAATTGGCAAACTTCAAAAAAGGGTTGAGGTCGAGGCTTTGGGAAGGTCATTCCAGAAACGTTGTTAGCCGGCTTTATCCATTACAAAAACAGTTTCTTCATTACTCCATCCCCTTTGTGCAATGTACCAGTGCTGCTGGCAGCAAAACAGCCCCACAGCATGATGCTACCACCATGCTTGACAGCTCGTACAGTGTCCTTAGGTTTGAAAGACACATCTTCAGTCCTCCAAACATACCTCTTGTCATTGTGACCAAATGTCAATCTTTTTCTTGTCTGACCATAAACCTTTTTGCCAGAAGGCATTTGACTTGTTGATGTGGGCAGCTAAAAATTTCATCCATCCATCCATCCATTTGCTTCCGCTTATCTTTTCAGGATATATATATATATATATATATATAGAGAGAGAGAGAGAGAGAGAGAGAGAGAGAGAGAGAGAGAGATAGATAGATAGATATTGGGACTGTGTGGATTAGAGAAAGCAGATTAGAAAAAATAAATTCAGACGTTTGCACCCGATTCTTGCTTTTCAAAGTCATTAAAGATGAATGGTTTAGAGTCATTCTATCATAAAAATGTATCATCCCGACTGTCATAAAAATGCATATGCAGTTCCATAAATTTGCTGGGAGTGTGAAGGGTTCCTATTTTTATTTCCAGTCCTACAGCTTTTGAGGAAACAGCTGTATGTCATTAGTTTAATGACTTCTGTGCACTGATTATTTTTGCATAAAATTAGAAAACCACCATATGTTTGTGTGACACAATGTGTTTAAAGAAATACCAGCTAATGAGCATAGACAGCACTGTCTATGTTACTGACCCCCCAAAAATTGATGTGTCCATTTAAGGCTCAGTGCTTCTGTTGCACATCACTCCCCTCTCCATTAGAGTGGAACAGTTTAAACAGAAATATGCTAAGCAAAGAAAATTCTATTTGGGTCTCAGCCTGCAGTGAGACTACATGCAATAATATTCATAAAATGGAGGGTTATAAATAAAAGGCAAAAAAAAAAATAATATGGCGTGTTTGTTGGTAGTAATAGGCCATCGTTTGCAATGCTAGCAGGAAACTGGGCCACTGTTTTCAAAGATAAAAAAAAAAATTCTTCGACAATATATTTTCCATATCTTAAAACGTGTCCTTTTATACAAAATTGTCATATATATGCATACAAATGCATCGACAACGCATCCTATTTGATTGTCTTGTACATTCTCATAAATTAGCACTTTCATGTTACAGCCTGATCATCGATTTTTAAAAAAAAATCATAATTATATATTGGATTTATACACCCAGGTTACACGCTACATCAAAACAGACTTACCTTTATTCCCTGGTGTTGTTAAGCCCGTTAATGGGTTGGTACTCGGAGGAAAGATGGAGGGGATTGTCGTGTACGGCGCAGGCTTGTTCCATCTGAAGGATGCGAGAGCGCGCAGCACGCTCACAGAAACATCTGAGCATCAAATATTGTTATGCTGACTTCAATAATTCTTCATAGGCATTTTATAATGTCAGTTTAGATTCAATGTTTTTTTTAAATTAGTTTTTAAAAATGATTTCGCGATCTTATTTATGTAGAAAGTAATGAAACCGGTGTATTTCCTCTGTATATATATGAAAAGGTATATCTGTATCATGAACTCATTTTACATCGTTGGCCACACAGGGCCCACTTTTAATCTTAAATTGACCGAACTAGCGACTTTCCCCTTTCTGTAGATACGTTTAAATACATATCAATTCAAATTAATAGGCTATAAGCAAAAGAAGTTTAACAGCTGGTCTCAGTTTTTCTATGTGATTATTCTATAAGCTTTTCTATATAAAAAGCTACTGTAGTAAATTAAAGAAATATGCCAGAACGAATAAATACATGTGTAAAATTACAGAAAAGCTTCTCGTTGCATATTGTCTTGAAAATTAGGTCTTTCTTTTTTAAAATACAGTTAAAAGTCAAAAATCTATGCCCTCCTTCATATAGTGCAAAACCATCCAGTGGGCGGATTGGAGTCTTTGTCAGGCGTATTCTATTCTATACTTATGTCATCCCTGACTTATCAATTTTGTGCAAAAACAGGAAGATGGTGGAGAGGACAGGGATATTTCATCACGTATGTAGAAGGAAAAATATTTCACCTCCGCAGACAGCAGGTGGCGGTAGCGCGAGTTTCTGTCACGTGCTCGTTTACGGACAACACCAACAAATAAGAACCAACTGGAGGCGAGCGAGAGCTGCTAGCTGCTCCCGAAGCAACTTATCTGACGTCCATCCTGCTGTCATGGCTTTCCTCTGCCGAAGTGCTGCTTCGCTGCTGAAGCCCTACCAAGCTGCCCCGGCCGTGCTATCCGCAGCCCGCCTCTACAGCTCAGGTGTTTTTGTGTGTTTGTGGTTTAAGCTCCACCGTGTCTGCAGGGGTCAGTTTGTTGCAGCTGCACCAACAGCTGCTACAATGTCAAAAACCTGCGTCACTGTCTGTGCGACGGCTTCACGTTTAGGGCAACAGTTTATGTGTTGTTGGTGGTGTTTTTGCATCGCAAAGTCTTTACTGTGTGAAAAAGTCCCCACTT